AAACGCAATAGCAAAAGCAAAGGCAAGGCAATGCAAATCAGAAGCGAAACCTATGCGAAAGTGTAAGTGTAGATGTAAATGTAGGTGTAGGTGTAGATGTAGATGTATATGTAGGTGTAGATGTAGGTGTAGATGTGGGTCTCGCTGTTGATCTTGGTGTAGATGTATATGCAGGTGTAGATGTTGGTGTAGCTGCCGGTGTAGATGTAGATGTTGCTTTCCTAGATGCTCCAAATCCTAGGTAGGGTCGCACTGGGATAATTTATGAGAGAGATGGTGTGGGTTGGGGGGGGAGCATGGTTCCTGGTTGGCTGCCAGTCGCCTGGGGGAGGGGGTGTATATCAATAGGGAGCAGTGATGAACCCCTCCCCGAACACGGGCAAAATGGGGATTTGAAGAGGAGTTTCCTTAGACCACCTACGCCCAGAGGGCTGGTGGAATTCGCAGACATGCCTTGTTACTTCTACGCAGATCAGGGTCGTCTTCGATTGTGAGCTGATTCGGTGTTGCTCGCATGACTGCGAGCGATCTATAGAGTAGGCGCGGATTGAATCGAGTTGATCCTCCTATTCCTCCTCGTCCGCCTACTTGGATTCTTGGATCGAAGCTGTGTAAGACAGTCCGCTGGCTTTTGGATGCGGCGCGCTTGCCAGTCAGACAGTCAGTCAGCCAGCCAGCCAGCCAGTCAGTCAGCCGACGTCGCCACAGGTGGCCAAAGAGCGGGCGACGGGCGGGGCGGCACGCTTGTGGGACGCACGCATGTGGGACAGCTTTCGACCCTCGTCTCCCCGTGCCATGCGGGGCGATTCCCTCCTCCTGCGTCGCTGAGCCAGCGAGGCCGCCCCAGAAGAGGAGGTCAGACGGGGTCACCCCGCCCAGGCCCCGACAGTCGAAGAAGACACAACTGCACAAGCAGAGACTTCTGGAGGTCGGTGCGGACTTATTGGATCTGCGCTGGCCCTCATCGGTGGCGCCACTGTCGCCACTCTGAGCGCGCTCGGCGCGCCAAAGAGGGGGGCCCAGCTCCGATCCAAGAAAACCGCGCTGACCCCCGACAGTTTATCTTTACGCTGTTTTTACCTAACAGCGAAGACTGATAGGTTTCTAGTGGGGTCAAAAGAGAGCATCTTGACGCCCCAGAGGGGGTCCGGGCAGGATCCGGGGAGAAGCCGCGGAAGTCGATTTAGGCAGACAGATACACACTTCGTGGGCTTCGAGGTCCCAGAACTCCATTCCTGGGCATGATTTTGAATGCCCGGAGCCACCTGTAGGCCACTTCGTGTTCTTCGAATTCCCAGAACTCCATTACCGGGCCACATTTTGAATGACCGGGGCCAACTGTAGGCCACTTCGTGGTCTTCGAGTTCCCAGAACTCCACTCCTGGGCATGATTTTGAATGCCCAGAGCCAACTGTAAGCCACCTTGTGGTTTTCGAGTTCCCAGAACTCCATTCTTGGGCATGATTTTGTGCCCGGAGCCACCTGTAGGTCACTTCGTGTTCTTCGAGTTCCCAGAATTCCATTCCCGGGCCACATTTTGAATGCTGAAGCAGGCTGATGCTGAGGCTGAGGCAGGCTGAGGCTGAGGCCGAGGCTGAAGGCAGACTGAGGCTGAGGCTGAAGCAGGCTGAGGCTGAGGCTGAGGCAGGCTGAGGCTGAGGCTGAGGCAGGCTGATGCTGAGGCAGGCTGAGGCTGAGGCTGATGCAGGCTGAGGCTGAGGCAGGCTGAGGCTGAGGCCGAGGCTGAAGGCAGACTGAGGCTGAGGCTGAAGCAGGCTGAGGCTGAGGCTGAGGCTGAGGCTGAGGCAGGCTGATGCTGAGGCAGGCTGAGGCTGAGGCTGAGGCTGATGCAGGCTGAGGCTGAGGCAGGCTGAGGCTGAGGCTGAGGGACTGAGGCTGAGGCTGAGGCTGAGGCTGAGGCTGCAGGCTGAGGCTGCAGGCTGAGGCTGAGGCAGGCTGAGGCTGAGGCAGGCTGAGGCTGAGGCCTGAGGCTGAAGGCTGAGGCTGAGGCTGAGGCTGAAGCAGCTGCTGAGGCTGAGGCAGGCTGCTGAGGCTGCAGGCTGAGGCTGAGGCTGGCAGGCTGCAGGCTGAGAGCTGAGGCGAGACTGAGGCTGAGCTGAGGCTGAGGCTGAGGCAGGCTGAGGCAGGCTGAGGCCGAGGCTGAAGGCAGACTGAGGCTGAGGCTGAAGCAGGCTGAGGCTGAGGCTGAGGCAGGCTGAGGCTGAGGCTGAGGCTGAGGCTGAGGCTGAGGCAGGCTGAGGCTGAGGCTGAGGCTGATGCAGGCCACTGCGACTGTCATCGCGAATGCGACTACGACTGCGAGAACAGCAGAATTCTACAACTGGATTCTCATCTGAATCTTAAGGGGAATGCTTCCAGATATGCTCCTACACATCGCTGTTAGGTTGCTTTGCCGGGATAATTCTTCGTCTGCGCAACGTCCAACTGGGGACACTCTTGTGCGGCAGGTTCGCGTCGTATCGATGTGGTGGCGGCTTTGCCGCAGGCGTTCAAGGTTGAACGCCGCTAGTGGCCCAGAATCGGCCGATACTGAACGATCTGCCGGGTACCCTCTTGGGGTCGTCTCTGGCCGTTTTGGGTTCACTGGCCGAGGGACAAGTTAGACGTTTATCCCCTGGATCGGCCAACATAAGCATTCCCCGAGTTAATGTTCTCCAGATTTTCGAAAGGGTTAAAAGGCTTGGGAACAAACCGCCGCGTGCTGATGATTCTGGGACTGGAGTATAATCCACCCAGTGCCTGCGACGCGGTGATTTATCTCATTGACCATGTCTGTGCAGGCTGAGCATTATTCATTGTTTGTCACGTACTGTATCTGTGTTTGCTCAAGTATTTTTGCATCGTGGTAGTTATCTTCGCCAGGAATATTTGGGATAGCCTCTATCCAGGCGCCTGTGGCGAGTCCCGCCGCTGTGCCAGCGGAAAGCTTTGCACGGCGACTTTTCGGGCCCCGCCGAACAATTTCCTTACATGTGGCACTTGTCGCCCTTGTGAAAAAAGAGGCTGAGGAAAATGAGAACAAGGACTGCTGACGATGATGATTATGATGATGATGTTGTTGTTGATGATGATGATGGTGATACTGATGCTGATCGTGATGATGATGATGATGATGATGATGATGACGATGATGATGATGATGATGATGCTGTCGCTGCTGATGATGATTATGATATTTGATGATGATGATTCTGATAACGATGATCATGCTGCTGATGATGCTGATGATGATGCTGCTGATGATGATGATGCTGATTCTGATGCTGCTGCTGATGAGGATGATGATGATGATGCTGAGGCTGATTATGATTATGAGGATGTATTGTGATGGTGATGGTGATGGTGATGGTGATGATGATGATGATGGTGATGATGATGATGATGATGGTGGTGATGCTGCTGCTGATGATGATGATTGATGATGATGATGATGCTGATGATGATGATGATGATGATGATGATGATGATGATGATGATGATGATGATGATGATGATGATGCTGCTGAATGATGATGATGATGATGATGATGATGATGATGATGATGATGATGATGATGATGATGATGATGATGATGATGATGATGATGATGATGATGATGATGATGATGATGATGATGATGATGATGATGATGATGATGATTGATGATGATGATGAATGGATGATGATGATGATGATGATGATGATGATGATGATGATGATGATGATGATGATGATGATGATGATGATGATGATGATGATGATGATGATGATGATGATGATGATGATGATGATGATGATGCACTTAGGGAATATTGATTGAAACACGGGAGAGCGCCGCAACTTTTGCCCTCCGTATTTCTTCGGCTCAGCACTTCTTTTGAGCGCCCATCCTCGGCCGGCAGCGCATGGACTATGTGCTGCAGCCCAGGTATTCCGCGCGCGGCTCGCTGGTGTCAGCTCGCCGTCCTGTTGTGACCCACCGAGGGCGTTCCACTACTCGTAAAATGCCTGTTCGCAGACTTCCGAAAAACACACGTTCGCCTCGTTGTCATGGATCGTAAATCCCCCGTGGTGGATCCAGGCCGTTTGCGAGTAGTTACTCTGCGAGCAGTGGAGCGCGCTTGTCGAGTGGCTGCACGCCCGCACACTCCGACGACGGGGTCCTCGAGCTGCTCCGCGAGCAGCTCCAGCGGTGCGGCCCGGAGAGGCTGCCTGCTTGCCCGCTGGCGCCGCCGTCACCGCCAGAGGCGGCTTACCTGGGGGCTCGTGTGGCCCCTCGCTGCCGCCGTCGCGGCCGGCGGCCTCGCGGGGGGAAAGGCTTGTCGCCCTGCAGCTCGCCAGCTGCGCTCGGCGGCTGCGTGGCTCGCAGCCGCTGGTGTCGCGGGTGGTGGCCGAGGGGGCGTGGGCCCCCCCAGCCAGCAGGGCCGCGGGCGCGGAACCAGGCGCTGGCGCTCGAGGGGCGCCCAGGGCTTGACGTGGCCTCCGACGACCTCGCAGGCGAGGCTCGCGCGGCGCTGACTGCTGTGCGGGCGCGCGCGGCTGCGCGTTGATGGCGCTCGCTCCTGGGGTATGGCTGTTCGTGGCTTGCGACAACCCAGGGGTGAAGGACCCGCTCTACCACGAAAAACTTATCACCGCCGTGGGAGTCAATGCGCAGTACTGCGTCTTCACTACTGACGGCGACCACTACCTCGAGTAGGTTTCCTCAGCTAATGCCGATTCTCTCGATATCCGATCGTTGGCTGGACCTGGAGCCGGGCCCGTCGGGATCAACGCCAATCGGATCTACAGATTCCGCCGCGTGCCCACGCTCGCGGAGCGTGCCCAGTACTTCAGGGACGGTGCCCTCATCGCAGTGGTGGCCGTGCCGCCCGCCGCCGCAGCCGCTGCGCCCGCCGACGCGCCGCGGCCTGGCGCTGCGGCCCTGGCAGCTCTCGAGCGTGTGTGGGTGGTCGCCGAAGATGCAGCAGGGCGGGTGCGAGGTAATATCATCGCGGACATGGGGGGCGCTCCCACCATCTTCGGGGACATGGCACTTGTCGAGTTGGCCCAGGGTACATCGCGGACGAGGTCGCGAGATATGCCAACGACGACCTTCGCATCTTCCCGGTCGCCTTCAACATTCGAGGCAACCGTCGCCGCCCCCTTGCCGATGCCGATGGCTTCGGGCCGGAGGGTCTGCGGCGTTGGCGCGGCGGCAGCATCGAACCTCAACCATCGCGACGCGTGGTTTCGCACTTGCCGTCCGGCGACAGGTCGGTGCCCGCGCATCGCGTTCTGTGTGTCCTGCTGCACGTGATGCTGGTCGTCGACCAGCTCAACGCGAGCTGCTTGCAATCGGGCGAGCTTATCGCCAGGAGGCCCCAGCTGATTGAGGGCGCTCGCCGAGCCAGCCCGTTTTCATCAGACTACGGATCGCCGGACCACTACGTGGGGCGTGCTTATCGGGCAGGAGGTGTCACTGACGCGCCTGGCCTCAGGCGCTACGTCGCGGACAGGCCAAGGGCGAGGTCGGGGTGGCCAAGGGGCAGCGGAAGGCTCGCGAGGGGCCCCGCCTGCTCCGAGGCAGCTCCAGCCCCGCGGGCCGAGGAGAGGGGGGGCGGGCGCCGAGGGCGCCGCCCGGGGCTGGGCGACTTCGATTCCGCGGAGGGGGGGCCTGGCCGACCCCTCGCGCGTGTCCCAGGCCCTGCTCACGGTGTGGTTGTGCGCCTGGGCGCCAGTGTTTGACGGGCGCCAGCGAGAATTGCCCCCCTGGCCGCTAGTCGAGGGGCGCCTCGCCGTTGCCGCGAGTCCCCTGGGCCGGGGGCGCGCGCTGGCCAGCGTCCGATGGGGGGGGCTGCGCCGTCGATCAGGCAGTCAGCGCCTTGGGGGAGCTCTACTGTGCACCTGAGGGCTCAGCGAGCACTGCGCTTGGTGGCCACCGCGAAGCGCATCGCCAGCTTCGCCTCGCCGCCCGACTGAGCCCCCGTGCAGCGATGTATATTTTTTCCCAAGCAGCCGCGGGGGGCTGCTGAGGTTCCGCTCCTCCTGCGATGAGAGTGCCGCGTGCCGGGTGCGGGCCTGCGACCGGTCGCTCGTCGATTTCCCGAGGCCAAGCTGGGCGCCGCCAGCCCTCGCTGACGTGGCTGGCCATGTCGGGCGCGAGACGTTGAAGGATTGGATGAATCTTGCGATGCCGGGCCAGGGCGAGTAGGGCCAGGTGGTCGAGAGTTCGCCTCCAGTGACGCGCATGGAGCCGCGCGAAGGGCTCCTCGCTCTACCGGGCCTTCGTCGGGGACGCGCGCGCCGCGGGGGCCATCGGCTCCGCCGCGGAGCCCGCGGACTGAGCGCCCCCCTTCGCCGGCAAGAAATCAGGTCAGCTGCGGGTTTGGCTCTCGACGGGAGAGCCCCGAATCGGCGGTTCCTAAAGCGCCCCCCCTCCTGGCCGCGGGGGCGGGGGCGTCGTTGGGCAGGCCGGGGCTTGAGGGGCCAGGCGTGCGCGCCTTCCAGGAGACGCCTGGCGCTCGCGAGGAGCTCTTCGTCAGTGGCCTCAGCGCGAGGAACTGCATCTATGCGCTGGGGAATTATCTCCAGCTGATGCCCTTCTACAGCTTGCCCGACGCCCTGGCCGAGTTCACCGAGGGCTTCGGGGGGCCGCTGGTCGGGGCGCTCCAGCCCTCGACTGGGTCTGGTCGACGCTGAGAGTGGCCTCCATTGGCTGGGGCTGGGCCTTCTGCCTGGCCGAACGTGTTGCCTCGCGGCGAGTCCAAGTCGCCTTCGGCGTCGGGCCGTCCGTGCTGCTCCGCGACCGCGGCCTGGCCCCCGACATCTGACGGGGGGCCCGCCGTTCTTGGCTATTGCCATTGCGTCGGCGCGGCTTCGACCTCTGGGAGTGACTGGCCAGCTGCGTCGCAAGATCGAGGTGCAGCTCGTCGAGGACGGCGTCGAGGTCCACGGGGCCACTGTCGCGTCCACTTCCGCCGTCATGTTCGGCAGGGAGATCGATGGCAGTCCTGAGACGGCGCAGCTACCTCCCCAAAAGCCTGCCCGACTGGGAGCAGCTAGCTGACGGTTGGTGCGAGGGGCGTCCGAGAGCGTCGGCCCATCGGATCGAGATCGTCGCCGGGCACTGCGTCGACGCCGCCGTGCTGAACCCTTGCCTCGTGTCCGTGTGCTGCGGGTGCTGCGTCTTCGCCGCCGCCGCCGTCTGCAGCCCTGCCGAGCACTGGGCTGCTGTGGCGTGGGTGCTCTCGATCGGTCTTTTGCAGGTTGCTCTTCGCGTCCGCCTGGGACGCGCGGGGGCCGCCCTGCAGCGCCGCTGGCGCGTGCGACTCGGGCCCGACTGGAGCGGCGGTGGTCGCTGCAGAGATGTCCTGCGAGGTCGCGTGGAAGAGATGGTGCAGGTCGGGGGGCGCTCGCGCTCCCGGGGTCGTGGCGGCGTCCTGGCTCCCCGCCTCTCCGCCGTCGGCCCTCCTGGTGTTTTTTCTCGGGCCCGAGGGCCGCCCCCCCTTCGAAAGTTCAGATGGGGGGGGCGAGGGCGCCTTGGTCCCCAAGCCTTCTTTCGAGGAAGTGCCCGAGGGGCGGGTGGCGTGGGCCTCGTGGCAGACGTGCGTGGCCCTGCCGTTGGCGGGGGCTGAGCGGATCGCCGCCCGCTCTGCGTGGATCTTTCGAGAAAGGGTCCTCGGCGTCTGATTTTTTCCGATGTGTATCATCGTTCGCCGCAGGCAGGGGTGCGAGTTTCGTTGTGTTCACCTCCTGCGGGAGGGTGGCGTTCCTGTCCGCCGCCTCGGGCTCAGCTTTTCTGCGCCGCTGGGCGCGTTCTGAGAGGGGTCGGGCCGGGGCGGGGTCGCGCCTCTGGTGAGCTGCTGCCGGCAAAGAGCCCGGCCGTCCGACCGGGCTCGGCCGCGGCCCCGCCGAGGCGTGGCCGCCGGGCCACGGCGCCGCCGAGGCCCTGGAGGCGGCGTTCGGGCGGGGCGCAGGGCCGAGGTCGGGGGCCGCCGCTGTCGCGGCCTTCTGGAGGCCAGCCGGCTCGATCAGCAAGGCCATCAGGGGCGACTTCGACAGGGGGCTGAGCGAGTTCCAGACATGTGCGTCGAAGGGGTCGCTTGAGTTGTCCAGGTTGGCCCCTGCCGACGCGGCGTTGGCCGCGTGCGCCGACGAGCTCAGTGCGGCGCCGCTTTCAGAAGAATGGCGGGGGCCCTGGCCGTCGACGTTGGTGTCCTCAGAACTCGTCACGTGCGAGCCATGCTCGAGGAATGCCTGCGGATCCGCCTCGTGCACGCTCGCTGACCGTCCTCGCGAAGAGGTCCGGGTCGAGGTGCCTCGTGTATGGTTTTGGCCGGATCCTCCCAGATGTATTGATTCAGCGTCTGTCGTTCAGAGTGCTACCAGGTCGCCCAGTGACACAGTCCATTCCTTCTTCAGAAGTGGGATAGGACGCCCGTCTACGAGCCCGAGGCATTAATCTGTCAGATTCCTGCCCGAGGGTGCCCAGGAGTTCTGGCCTCCCGTGGGCGGGCCCCCGCGTCGACGCCCTGGCGCGCCATGCATGGCGCGTGCGGCCCGTCGCGTAAAGGGGTTCTCATATCATGATGCAGCTTTATCGGATATTCGTCGAATCGCGGGGGAGTGCCGCAACCCTTGCTCTTGACAGTTCTCGAGTTCCTTCCGTTCCCCCCCCCCGCCTTCCCCGGTGGAGCTGTCTGCGGGCGCGGGCCTCTGATCTTTCGGCCCCTTGCCCAAGGTCGCCCAATAATTCTGGCCTCTCAGCAAGGCCCCCCCCGCTCGACGCTCTGGCGCTGCATGCGTGACTGTGCAGCCTGGCGCGGAAATAGTGCTTTCTATTATGTTGCTGCTGCTGCTGCTCATGGCGATGCTGGTGCTGATGGTGATTATAATACTTATGGTGGTTCTGGTGGTGATGGTGATGATGATGATTGTGATGCTGATGGTGATGATGATGGTGGTGGAGTTCGCTGTGGTGACGATAAGTATGACGATTATCATGATGATGCTGATGATGATGGTGATAACGGTACTGCTGATGACAACGATTTTGGATGTACCAATGATGATGTTGATGCTGATGCCAGTGCTGATGGTAATGATGTTGCATCTGATGATGGTGACAATGATGCTGATGACGATGATTATGATGATGATGATGAGTTTGGTGATGCTGGTGCTGATGATGATGCTGTTGTTGATGATGCTGATGATGACGATGTTGGTGATGATGTTAATGGTGAGTATGCTGTTCTTGATAATGCTGACGACGACGCTGATCATGGCGATGCTGCTGATGCTGATGATCATGCTGGTGACGATTGTGCAAATGATGACGAACATGATGATGCTGATGGTGATGGTGCTGCTGATGGCGACGATGATGGCCATGATGGCGATGCTGATGATGCTGCAGATGGTCATGATGGTGATGGTGATGATGATGCGACGTATGATGATGATGATGATGGTGATGATGATGGTGATACGGTTGCGAATGTTGCGGGTGATGGTGATGATGACGATGACGATGCTCATGGTGATGAAAATGCGGATGTTAATAATGATGCTGCTGCTGCTGCTGATGATGATGATGATGATGCTGATGCTGATGATGATGGTGATGCTGATGATGCTGATGATGCGACTGTTGCGGAACATGGTGATGGTGATGGTGATGATAATGATGACGATGGTGATGATGATGCTGCTGCTGAGGATGATGCTGATGCTGATGCTGATGCTGATGATGATGATGATGATGGTGATGATGGTGATGATGATGGTGATGATGCTGCTGCTGCTGCTACTGCTGATGATGATGCTGATGATGATGATGATGATGATGATGATGATGCTGCTGCTGCTGCTGATGATGATGATGATGATGATGATGATGATGATGATGATGATGGCGCATCTGATTTGCAAAATGACGAGGACGATTCCGAGTACGACTGCAACCGTCGCATGCTAGATCTGCCGCTACCCCCGAAATGCCACGAGAAGAGAATACGGGGAACCACAGGCGGACGAGGAAGATGAGGAAGAGGAGAAGGAGGAGGAGGAGGAGGATGAGGAGGAGGAGGAGGAGGAGGAGGAGGGCGGAGGAGGAGGGGAGGAGGAGGAGGAGGAAAAGGAGGAGGAGGAGAGGAGGAGGAGGACGAGGAGGAGGAGGAGGAGGAGGAGGAGGGGAGGAGGAGGAGGAGGAGGAGGAGGAGGGCGGAGGAGGGGGAGGGGGGTGGAGGAGGAGGAGGAGGAGGAGGAGGAGGAGGAGGAGGAAGGAGAGGAGGAGGAGGGAGGAGGAGGAGGAGGAGGAGGAGGAGGAGGAGGGGAGGAGGAGGAGGAGGAGGAGGAGGGAGGAGGAGGAGAGGAGGAGGAGGAGAGAGGAGGAGAGGAGAGAGGAGGAGGAGGAGGAGGAGGAGGAGGAGGAGGGAGGAGGAGGAGGAGGAGGAGGAGAGGAGGAGGAGGAGGAGAGGAGGAAGAGGAGGAGAGGAGGAAGGAGGAGGAGAGGAGGAGGCGAGGAGGAGGAGGAGGAGGAGGAGGGAGGAGGAGGAGGAGGAGTAGGAGGAGGAGGACGAGGGAGAAGAGGAGGAGGATGAGGAGGAAGAAGAGAAACAAGAGGAGGAGGATGAGGAGGAAGAACAAGAAGAGGAGGAGGAGGAGGGAAAGGATGAGGAGGAGGACAAGGAGGAGGACGAGGAGGAGTGTACAGCCAAGAGGCATCAACGATGGTGGAATCGACCCTTCCTCTCAATTCACTCTTCATAAGCCCCTTACAGCGTTTCATTTCCATTGAAGGAACTGCCTCGTTGGAAGGCAACCGTTTGAAGATCTTGATACATGTCAAAACATTGTTCTTGGGGCTTCCACGCCACGGATCAACTTGACTGCTGCGTCGTGACGATCTGGAATCGTGCCAGAAGGCCATTTTTGGAAGTTCGACACCGCGAGCCAACATAACTGTTGCACCCGCATAGTCCTGAATCCTTTTGAAACACCATGTCTGGTACGTTGATCTCGGGAACCCGTGACACTCTTGCAAATTAAAAAAACGAATATGCGCGGCGCTGAGGCGAGAACCACATTTTGAAAAGGCACCGGCCTCAATCCGTGAAGCTCTTGAGACATTTATCAAACGAATTTGCGCGGCGATAAGGCGAGAAATATTTGTTGAAAACGACTCGCCCTCAATCCGTGAATTTGTTGTTGCAATGTTTAAACGAATGTGCGCGGCGCCAAGACTAGAGCCACATTTTGAAAACGCGGCGCTAAGGCGAGAGCCACATTTTGAAAACCACCCGCCCTCAATCCGTGAAGCTCTTGCAATTTTTCAAACGAATGTTCGCGGCGCTAAGGCGAGAGCCACATATTGAAAACGAGCCGCCCTCAATCCGTGAATCTCTAGTAAATGTTTAAAACGAGTGTGGCGCTAAGGCGAGAGCCACATAAAAAACCACCCGCCTTCATTCCGTGGATCTCTTGTGCGAAGTTTTGCAACGAATGTGCGCGGCGCTAAGGGGAGAGCCACATGTTGAAAGCGACCCGCCCTCATCAGCGAAACAGTTGCCATGTTTTAATCTTCAGAGTGATACATGTAATAAATGGTAAGTCTCAGGCGAATCGCCGCCTGGCCCGCCCTAAAAACGGCGCCAGGAGAGGGGGGGCTCCTCCTCCTCCTCCTCCTCCTCCTCCTCCTCGTTCTCTTCTTGCGCCTCCTCCTCCTCCTCCTTCTCCTCCTTTGGGTCCTTTAGAAGTCTGGCAGAAGCCCTGTTAGACAGCACTTGGCATTCTACCACGCCTCCAAGGTGCCACTGGGCTCGGAGGCGGATTCCCACAATCAGTGTCAGCTCAATGGGACCGTCCCTCCAGATCTTCGTCGTTCTTGTTCTGGGTGTGCGATCAGAGGTGCTGAATTTTGCCCCAGAGATGGACGGATCGTTCGAATTCAACGATGCTGTAACGTCTGACATCGGTACTGCCATGATGACCACAAACGACGGTATCGTGTGCTATTCCGACTGGGCAAATCCCCCTGGAGAGAGAGCAGTGTGCAACGCTTTCGACGCCTCCACTGGTGACGTTGGCCCAGACTGCAACTTGACCGCTTATCTCGTGAAGGGCCAGAGGTTCACGGTCACCCGCTTCTCCGACGAGCTGGCCATAGTATGCTTCACGGCCTTCGGAGAGTACGAGATCGGGGGGCCGTCGTATTGCCACAAGCTGACCCTGAACACGGCCGACATGACTCTGACCGCCGGACCAGGCCTGGTAGTCAAGCCGGAGGCGACATTCATGTATTATCTGACCATCGCCAGCTTCACTGAGACCTTCGGGGTGGTGTGCTACCAGGACACCTCGGACGTGTTCGAACCGAAGGAGAGGAAAGCCAGGTGCAACGTCCTTGGCTTCGAATCTGGAAGTGACAGTCTCACTAAGAGCGAGGCTTTCGAGGCGGACTCAGTGGCGGTTGACGTTGTCGGTGTGTCGCTCACTAAGTTCTCAAGCTCGACGGGCGTTTTGTGTTTCACCGAGAAGACAGATGAAAGGGCATACTGCACGCTTTTGACTGTCAGTGACACGGACATCAGTGTGCCTGGCCCAAATGACGTTGCCATCTTCGAAGGTGTCCCTAGCATACTGGACAGGGCGCAGGTGTCCGTAGTCAGCTTGGACGAGACCACAGGACTGGTGTGCTACGTCGTCGGAGATGCATCTGCTGGCAACAGTGCCTCATACGAGATCACGTGCACCCCCGTTGGCTTGGTCAATGGGACTGTGGTCACGGTTGGCGACGACATCGTGGTAGACAGCGACGCCACTTTCGACATGTCGGTCACCGCCATGTCCGAGACTGCCGCCATCGTGTGTTACCTGAAGGGTGATGAGAGGATCGGCACCTGCAAGGGGCTGGTCCTCAGCCACGGCAGGGAACTGAGCATGGGCGACGCGAGGGACATCGCCGGCACCAGCGGGTTCAAAGCCTACAGTGACGAGAACATCCGGGTCTGCGACGACAACCCCTGCGTCGAGTTCGTCTCGCTCACGCGCAGGAACGACGTCGACGCCATCGTGTGCTACGCGGGCATCGACGACAACCCCAACGGGCGATGCACGAAGCTCTTCGTGCCGGCGCCCACCACCACCGCCACCGCGACCACGACGAGCGCGACGAGCAGCACGACCCCGCACACCACTACGGAGTCCAGTACCACGACCGCCACGCAGACGAGCACGCTCAGCACCACCACCACCGCCACCGAGACCACGTCCACGGGGACCAAGACTACAGTGACCACCACCCCGCACACCACCACGGAGACGACACCGACGTCGACGACCGCCACCGAAGCGGAGGATTCCGCCGGGCGCGGCTCTTCCCTTGCCCCCCTGACGCTGCTTGCGGCCCTCGCGGCAGCAGCTGCACGGTGATCCCTCCGAGGGTACCTGACGCGACAGCAGTGCTGCACATCTTCCTCCCTGTCGTGACGGCAGTGCAGTCCATCTTCTTAGCTCTGGCGGAGCGGGCGCAGGCAGCAAAAGACCCTGCGATCTCAAATGGTAATCATTTGCCTGCTCACCCAGAGACCGCGCAGAAGTTGCGGGCGAACCACAACCATCATGATCGCCATCACCACCATCATCGTCTCGAGCAAGAAGCAACGGCATACAGTAGTTAACCTTCGGAGGTCCACGCAGATTTCTTCGATCGGCGCTGGACACCCTTTCTGGCGCGATGAGCGCCAGGGGCGGCGCCAGGGGCGCCCCCACTGGTCCAGTGTCGACCTAAGAGATCCGCGAAGCCCTCCGACACGTCATGTTTTCAGACTTTGTTGTCCTTCTTCTACTTCAGGCAAGACGCTCACATAAGGACCACTTTTGGGCTTCCCAAAGCCATAGGATTCCCGAGGGAATCCTAAAGAATTCCTGGAGTTGGGGAAATCCTGCGGACCAGGTTGGTGCTTCGCCGACCAGCACCCAGGCCAGAGCCTCTGCGCTCAGGAATTCCTTCGCAAATCCAGAGGACTTTTTCGGACGGTTGGCTCACAATCATTGAATTTCAATACAGTGGAGACCCATGCCAAGAAACACCCTCCTTGCCTCCACAGAGCCGGGTTTCGGTGGTTTGGCCATGGAAGGCGTGGCGTTCCCACACCAAACATCGATGGACGCCCTGGGGTCTCAGGGTTGGGTTTCTTGTAGAAGGTTTATTGTGGTCGGGCCCCCACTATATGCTCTTGGCGGCTTCATGTCAAAACTGCTGTTAGAAAGATCTTTTTTAACCCTGACGTCGAGATCCGCGTGAGGGTTTTTGGTCTTCGGGCTGTTCCTCAGCTCTAGGCCGGCACCTCTTCGGGGCAGACGGTCAGCCGTTGGCCAGAAACGGCCCCTCGTGCTCATCATAGCGCGCTGACTGTATCATCGCCACCACCATCAGAGTGCTCCTCTCGTCGCAGGCCTAGAGGTTGACACCAACACCAACATCGGCGGTGTGCCTCCACCGAGGGAAGAAGATCCCGATCTCGGTGATGGTGGTAATATTCTGGCTTCCAAGGTGGCCGAAATATTACCACCAACACCGAAATTTAGGATCATCTTCCCCCTGTGGAGGCAACCCCCTGTGTTGGTGTTGGTGCCCATTTCCAGGCCTCGAATCTCGATACGATCGAACCGATTCGATATCGATTCCGGCCCGCCCGATCCGACTCGATTCCACACTCAGACGGTCCGATGTGGCCCGATGCTCGCATTGGAATCGTTGTGCATCCTGGCGCGGCCGACCCGATTCGATTCTGGCTCTCCTCCTCCTCATCCTCCTCCTCCTCCGCCTCCTCCTCCTCCTCCGCCACCTCCTCTTTCCCGAGGCGGCCCGATTCGGTGAGCATTCCGATCCGATCTTGTTGACCGATTCGATGCCAACTGATCCTGCCATCGCCATCGTCAGCATCTCGGCTCGCGGATCTTCAAACCCGGGCCGCCTTCGCTCTTTCTTCACCGAGCGCGTTCCGCTATCCGCAAAGTGCCTGCTCGCAAACGCCAGACAAAGATACGTCTTCCTCTACAGTGGAGGCCCATGCCAAGAAACACCCTGCCTGCCTCCAGGGTGCCCTAGGTTTCTTTGGTTTCGTTTGCTTTGCTATGGAAAGCGCGACGTGCCCACACCAGAAATCAAAAACGCCCTGGGGTCTCAGGGTTGGGTTTCTTGTGGAGGTTTCTTGTGGTTGGGCCCCTACTGTATGTAATGGATCGTAATGGATCGTAGATCCCACGCGGCGGATCCAGCCCCTTGACCAGTAGTGGCTTCGCGAGTACTGCTGGAAAGAGCTTGTCTACTGGAGCGGCCTTACGGTCGGTGCCGCTGGCCCCCCTGAACGACGACGGCGACGGCGACGGCGACGGCGACGGCGACGGCGACGACGACGGCGACGACGACGACGACGGCGACGACGGCGGCGACGGCGACGACGACGACGCGTCCCCCACACGCCGACAGGGTCGGCAGATTTCTGGCGCCCTCCAAGGGAGGAACAACCACCCGGACCGGACAGTTGGCGTTTACGAAACGTCCCTGGGCGTTTACCAAACAGCCCTGCCTTGTTTGATTCCTTCTTTGGGCGCGTTTACTAAACGACTTCGCGTGTCGGGGTGGTTATTTTCAGGAGGGGGAAAACCACACAGACACAATTAATCGTCGATTCCCAAGAAAATATGGAAAAATATGGGAAGAGGGGGGGAAGACAAAAACCCTGAAATTATATGAAAATATGGGGAATCCTGTTATTTGTGTGGATTTGTTTTCCGACGGACCGTGCGGTGAGGTCTTGGGGGGGATTTCGAGGCCACCGCACGGTCTGTCGCCGCACCGCGTCGGGACTCCAGACAGGCAGGAAGCTGCTGATGCCCCCCCCCAGGGCGTGACGGGGACGTCGGCGGCGGGCGAGGGGTCTCAGGGGCATTTTGGGAGGCAGTTTTCAGGCCTCTTGGGGGCCGTGTTGGGGCCTCTTGGGGGCCTTTTGGGGCTTCTTGGGGTGCCTCTTGGGGGCCCCTTGGGGCCTCTTGGGGGCCTCTTGGGGCTGGGGACCTCTTTGGACTGAAGGCTGGACTTTTCGGTTCCTGATCACCGTCTTGGGCCCCTCTTGGGGCTGTTTTGGGGCTCTCTTGCGCCGTCTTGGGCGCCTCTTGAGCTGTCTCGGGGCCATCTTAGGCCGTCTTGGGGCTGTCTTGGGGTGTTCTTGGGGAAGTGAGGAAGGAGAAGGCCTTCTCAGAGGGCGGCGGGACTTCTCTCTCAGAGGCCCTCGGGCCCTTCGCCGAGAGGTCTGCTGCGTCTTCGGGGAGAGGACCGCTTGGAGCACCTCTCGGAAGACTAGGGGGACCCTCCGAGCCTCCCGAGGAGGCCCCGCCCCTTCTCGCTTCCCCCCGGGGCTCGCCGCCGAGCGCTGCGCTTCGCGCGCGGCGGCCCGGGCCGCAGAGCTGGCCTTCTCCAGGGGGGCGGTGCGCGGGGTGCGAAGGCTCCGAGGCGGGACTTTATACGTGACCACCGCCTGGAGGCTCGGTTTTCGAAGCCTCGGCGGGCGGTGGACATGGACGTATTCGGGCCCGAGGGGGCCCATATATATGTATATATATAAATATATGTATATGTATATGTTTATGTATATGTATATGTATATGTATATGTATATGTATATGTATATGTATATGTATATGTATATGTATATATGTATATATATATATATATATATATATATATATATATTCCTCCTTCTATATTTTTTGCAAGGCCGGGCTGGGGGAAAACCCGTCCCCCCCCCCAAAACCGGACTCCCGGGATTTGGGGCTTTGGACCCTTCGGACGGGCCTCGAAGCGGCCCCCCGGGCCTCGCAGGGCGTTCTGCCAAGCTTTCACAGCCCACCTAGGGCGATCAGGGGGGTCATCGGAGACGTCCCAGAGAACCCCAAGACAGCACAACAGCGCTCCAAGAAGCCGTCATACCCTGAAAGATCGCTCCAAAACGTACCAAGAGGCCTCCAAGAGCACCCCAAGAAGGCCCCAGGAGGGAATAGTTATCGATTTAATGTAGGTTTTTGGTGAATTGCGGGTTCTCCTCTTTTCGGCTTCCCGACGCTCCAAGACAGCGGTTTTCTGGGCGTCCGAAGTCGCCTGGGAGGCTCCAAAGTCGCCCCGCAACCATCCGAAAGGGCTTCCAGGCAGTCCAAGAGAGCCCCAGAACGGCACAACAGGGGTCCAAAATGGCCCTAAGAGAGCCCCATGGCGGCCCAAGATGGCCCCAAGACACCCTCCGAAGCATTCCAAATCGTGACCGGGGCGTTCAGGGAGACTGCGGTTAGAGGCAGGTTGGCCTTAGGAAGCCCCAGAGGCCCCCAGAACACGCCCAGGAGGCCTCCAGAAGGCTTGAAGAAAGCCTGAGAACTTTGGTGAGGCCCCCAGAGGCTCTCCAAGGAGGAGCCTCCGCGAAAAGAGCTGAGGAGGATGGGGAGAGTACCCAGGGTAATTATGGCGAGAATGAGGAGAAAAAAGCATGGAGGAGGGATAACGAACAACATTATTATAACGGCGATGCCAGAAAAAGGCAGCAAGGAGTCATCGCAAAATTGTCCGCTCGACCTTCCTGCCATTTCCGCCTGCACACGAATCTTCAAGGACCAAGGTGCATGGCGCGAAGGGCCACTGCAGTCTTGTATATATGTATATATGTATATATATATATATATACACCGCCCGCTAGGGCACCAGGACGTCGGTTCCCAGGCGGTGGATATGGATATATCCCCGCCTCGCAGAGGTGGCCGCGCTCCGCGCACCGCGGGGCGCGGTGCGCGAAGCTTCAAGGCGGGCCTTTCCCTCTACAGTGGGAATCTTCAAAGATAGGCAAAACAAAAAGTCAGGGGACGATTACTGATTTTTTCTTTCAATGTTTGAGCATTTTTTGGGGGTACCTTCAATTTTTCGTCCGAAATCCGCCTGTAGGTGGACATGCCCGACCTAAGCGAAGCTAGGTGACCCAGCTTTCGGAGGTCCGCGCGGATCTCCGAATCGGCGTCTGCCGATTCTTCTTCTGTGCGTGCGGCCTCCGAGATCGCAAGCTGACGGTTTGCCAGCAGTCCTGGGGATCTGGAGCTCCTCGCATCTCTTCAGGCGCTTGGGGTCCCATGCAGCAGTCCTCTATGATTTCCGGCAGCCTGCGACAAGTCCCGCCACCGTTCCAGCCCAGCACCTTGGGGGTCGATTGACAGGACGCCGTAATGCGTGACGCCCCGTGCCCGGAGGCTTGGTCGAGCCTTACGATGCTCTTCCGCGTCGTGTCGGTGATAGAAGTGACATGGACGAAAAGGAGGTCGAGTCACCTTTGGGCTTCACTTCTCGAGGAGCTCTCATGCAGCTGACTTGGGCCATCTTGCGGGTGTCTTGTCTCCTGTGAAGCAGTCTTTGGGGTTCCCTGGGCCACCATCTTGGGGCTGCCTTGGGCTCACGTGGGGCAGTCTTGAGTCGTCTTGGGGCCCTTGTGGCTGCCTGGGGTTCTCTTGTGGCCATCGTGGGGTCGTCTTGAGGGGCTCTGAAGCCGTCCTGGGCGTGCCAAGGGGCTCTCTTGGAGCCGTCCTGGGCCCTCCTTGGGCCGCCGCGAGGCAGTCTCGGGGGATGGTTGGGACACTTTTGGGCCCTCCTTGGCCGTTTTGGGGCCACCTTGGAGGCCTCCGGGGCCGGCTGGAGCCGAATGGAGCCCGAAAATGTGAAGGCGCCCAAATCGATCAAGAGCCGAAGGACCATGTAAGGTACTGGCCTCTTCGGGCCCTGCTTGGGGTCTTCGTGTGGCCCTCTTGGGCTGTTTCGGGGCCCCCTGGGCCGTCTTGGGGCCCTCTCGGGCCGTCTTGGAGACATCTTGGGCCATCTTGGCTTGTCTTGGTTGCTTTTCTTGTCCATACTTGAACCCCAGGAGCTCGGGTCTAAGTTGTTGTTGTTGTTGTTGTTGTTGTTGTTGTTGTTGTTGTTGTTGTTGCTGCTGCTGCTGCTGCTGCTGCTGCTGCTGCTGTTGCTGTTGTTGTTGTTGTTGTTGCTGTTGTTGAACATTATTACTTCTAAAGAATAATTATTGTTGGGACCCCTGGTGCACGACCCCCCCGCCGCGCCTAGGCCGCAGCCTCATTTTCATCATTTTCGTGAGGAAGTCTCAGGCAAAACGGGGGAGTCCGGATCCGGTTGTGTTGTTACGATCGGTTTTCCCTTGCAAAAAATAAGCTAAAGTGGACATTTCTTGTTCTAACATAACCAAACTTCAAGAATCCCTTGCAAAAAATAAGGTAAAGTGGACATTCGCGCGCGCAAGACGAAATCCTTCCAAAACCTTAGTTTTCGTAGCGATTTTAACATAAAAACATAAAAAAAAACCAATGGTTTTTCAAAAAAAAATGTCAAAATTTCATCCCGCGCGCTCTTGCGGATTCGTAGGAAACCCAACACTTTTTAATCATTTCTGTCAAACGGGCTTTTGCGAGCAACTTTTTCGAACTTCTGCAACAACGGTTGCGCACCTGCCAGGGCCATCATCCCTGTCAAATAATACCATGCGGGACACATTCGTTTTTTCTTCGCGCGCGCACGCCGTCGTCGTCGGCCGCGGGGCCCTGAATAGTAGCCACGGTCGTCCGCATGCCACGAAGTGAAGTGTCCGAACGTCATAGGGCGGGAAGCTGGGTGTGGGTGGTGGCGAAGAGTCGTTTGGAAATTTGGTAGAGCTTGAACCGGCCCCCCCACAAAGTGGGGGTATTGCCCGCCTCCTATGAAAACCCTGGCACTGGTGAGAACGGAGTGTCCCCACGTGCTAGTAATTGTTGTTGTTGTTGTTGTTGTTGTTGTTGTTGTTGTTGTTGTTGTTGTTGTTGTTGTTGTTGTGGTTGTTGTTGCTGTTGCTGTTGTTGTTGTTGATGTTGATGTTGTTGTTGTTGATGCTGTTGTCGTTGTCGTTGTCGTTGTGGTTGTGGTTGTGGTTGTAGTTGTTGCTGTTGCTGTTGCTGTTGCTGTTGCTGTTATTGTTGTTGTTGTTGTTGTTGTTGGTTGTTGTTGTTCTTCTTCTTTTTCTTGTTGTTGTTGTTGCTGCTATTGTTGTTGTTGTTGCTGTTGTTGTCGTTGTTGTTATTGGTGTTGGTGTTGTTGCTGTTGCTGTTGCTGTTGCTGTTGCTGTTTCTGTTGCTGTTGCTGTTGCTGTTGTTGTTATTGCTGTTGTTGTTGTTGCTGTTGCTGCTGCTGCTGTTGTTGTTGTTGTTGTTTGTTGAGAATAATTCTTGTTGATCTCCGGAAACTGTTCCGCGCGCTCTCGCCTAGACGCCGTCTACGTAGTCTCTGAAAACGAGGCTCCCGCTTGAGCGTTGGCTTGAGCCTAAATGTGCACCCTTGGAGGCCCAGCTACGACAACAACGGCTCCCGCTCGATACTTCCTCACAGTTTACCCCGAGACACCCTGGCCAGAGAGGCTCCCGAACTCAGGAACGGCGCTCTCGCTCGAGACTTCCTCGCAATGCAGCTAAGTTGGCGGAGGCCCAGCCACGACGACAAGGGCTCCTGCTCGATACTTCCTCACGGTTTACTCCGAGAGCTCCTGGCCAAGAAGGCCCCCGAACTCAGGAACGGCGCTCTCGCTCGAGACTTTCCCGTGATTCGGGCAAGTTGGTGGAGGCCCAGACACGGCAACAAGGGCTCCCATTCGATATTTCTCCATAGGTATTCCGAGAGCCCCTTGCCAGAGAGGCCCCAGAATTCAGGAACGGCGCTCTCGCTCGAGACATTTTCGCGCTTCAGTCAGTGGCCGGCAAGGAAGAAATTCCCCCCGAAAGGGGGTGCAATCGAAGACGAAGTGGGCGGGTATCGAGGTATGGGGTATACGGCATGCAAGACACGCGTGCCAGTAAAAGCGAACAGTCTTACAATGATTGTTGCTGTTGTTATTGTTGTTGTCGTTGTCGTTGTTGTTGTTGCTGCTGCTGTTGTTGTGGTTGTTGTTGTGGTTGTTGTTGCTGTTGCTGTTGCTGCTGTCGTTTCGTTTCTTTCTCTGAGGATGGGGGTCTCGGGAGCGCGGACTGAATTTTCCTCATAGGGCGAATCACGTGGTGGTGTTGGTGGTGCATGCAGAGGGACGTGACGAGAGGGGGAGACCCTCAGAAGACTACAGAAGCCCTACCAGACAGTCCATGGCATTTTACCACGCCTCAACGTGCCAGGGGGCACGTTGGCGGATCTGTTTGCCAAGTGCCTTCGTTTGAAGTACCTGGGACCCCCTTCCCTTGCAACGCCTGGGGAGCTCTGGGTTCCCATGCGGGCTCGTGACTTCTATAACACCGACGGTTCTTTGTGTTCCCGTGAGGACCCTTGGAGTTTCCATTCCCCCCTTGCAGCTGTGCCAGATGTTCAAGTTTTAGTAGAACTAAGAAGCCTCACGCGAGCGCCAAAGTTTGAAAAGTAACTACCTTCATCCTTGCAGCTATTGCATGTGTTCGAGCTTTTAAGAAGTCTCAAGCGAAACCCCAGTCTGAAAAATGGTCGCCCGCCGTCTCTGTAACAGTTTCAAACTTTTGAGACGAAAGTGCGCGACGCGAAAACGATTCGTCGTCCATCCTTGAAGGTGTTGTGCAAATTTTAGACGAATGTGCGCGTTTCTAAGGCGAAAGCTCCATGTTCGGTTGCACAGTGCCGGCCGTGACAGCCGAGGCTGATCAGGAGGGGGACCCTGCCAGATCGAGGGTGCCTTGGTGTCCCGTGCTTCGCGACCCATGCCTTCTACATTCCCGTGGCAATGTTCTAGGCCTCTTAGGTCGGGTCGGCGTAGGTGGGGTCGGAGGATCGCGCCGCATCGCCGATGCATCGTCGATGCATCGGCGATGCGGTTTGATGCGGGACCCAATTTTCTCCACGCCGACGTCGCGGATGTATCGGTGACGTTGCCAGTGCATGGCCGATGCATCGCCGATGCATCGCCGATGTGTCGGCGATGCGGCGAGATCCTCCGACCCCACCTACAGTCAACCCGCATAGTAAGGATGGGCAACCTTTCCAAGGGTACCCTTGCATCCTTGCCTCCTCGGTCCATCCTTGGCCAGTTTCGTTGGCCGCGTTGTGCCCGACAAGCTTCGAGATGGCCCTCCAAGGCCCTTGCATCCTTATCGCGCATCCTTACTATACCGGTTGATGGTACTCGGACCCCATCTACAGTCGGCCCAGATTAGTAGGTCGACCCTGCCAAATCAAGGGTACCTTTGTGTCCTGTGTCTCGCGACCCCTGCCTCTCCCATTCCTGTGGCAACGTGGCCCTCGGAAGGGTCTTGTGTCCTCTCGCGTGTCCTGCCCAATCAAGTCCGACTGTAGGAGGCCTCCAAATCTGGCCCTCGGGAGGGGTCTTGTGCCCTCTCGCGTGCCCTCTCCAGTCCGCCCCGACGGCCCTTTCTCTGCGCCGCGCTCCCCGGCACGCGGGCCGCCCGCTGGCTCCGTGCGCTCGCCCAGGGCCCCCTGGAGGGCGGGAGCTCCTCCTCCTCCTCCTCCTCCGCCTCCTCCTCCTCCTCCTCTAGCCCGTCGCTCGAGCACGTGCTGGGCATAGGGCCGCTGGGACGCCCGTGCGCCCCCGCTCCCCCCTCCCCCCTCGCCTTCCCGCGGCCCGTTCCCCCCTCAGGTGCTGATGGTGTGCGCTGCTCGGCTGCGATGGCTCTCGGACCAGCTGGCCCTTGGGAGGCAGTGCCGGCTGCGGGTGAACTCACACTGCGACAAGGTGATCGTCAAAGTGGTGTTGTTGCCAGTGTTCGACACGCTCATGCTCAACTCCTTCGCCCTCCAACTGGTGACTTCACTATTTGATTCTCTTCCGCATGCAGTGGTTGTTGATCATGGCCATTGTACCTCGGCTGGCGAATCGCACATCTCGATATCTTTTTCGGCGGGTTCCTCCTAAAGCTGGAGGTAGTCCTCCTGGCCCACCTGCTGGTGGGGGCTCTCCTGGCGGTTGTGATGACGAGGAGGGGGATGACGATGGAGGTCCTGGCGATGTGGATGTCCGAGGTCAAGATCCGTGGTTTGCTGGTGGCGACCCCTGGCTCTGTGGCGGGACGGTGCGCCCCGGTGGCAGCGGAGCCAGTGGCAGGCCCCCGAAGATGCCTCGCAAGCAGCGTGCTGACAGACCTGTGGATGATGTTGACGGTGGCATGGGTGCTCAGGCGGATGCACTTCCACTGGTACATGCTTTCCCTGCGCTTTCAGTGCCTTGCCAGATGGCCGAGGCCAAGCTCTTCGAGAGCCTTCGGATGATGATGCACATTGTGATCACGGCATGGGCTATTGCATCTCAGACGATGGCGGCGTCGTGTGTGCCTCCTAGTGGCTGTGCTGCTCTTCCTGCCCTTCCTGCTCCTTGCGATTACCAGGCCGACAGCGACATAGTGGACTCCATGATGTACGAGATGGACGTCGACGGGTACCCTGAGGACGACGCCTTGCGCGTTGCCTTCAATATTCCTCATCGTGGGGCTCCTGTGGTTGCTGCTAATGAGGGTACTGGCAGTCATGGCTGGGATGGGCGTGCTCTCCTTCGTGATGGAGCTGGCGGTGGAGACGTCGAGGCTTTACTTGCGGAGCTTCTCAAGCCCTTGGCGGACGCGCAAAAGAACTTCCAGAATACGCTCGAGCGGAGTTTCGGTTCGCAGGTGCTGTCCTCTGGTGCTGGCGCAGCCCCCGCGCGGATTTTACGTGAGATTGTATGGCATGAGGAGGAGTTCGTGAGCTGGCGCCGGCGGTTGCCGCTCGCGGAGCTCTGCCAGCACCACGCTTGGCCCTTGGAATTGTTCGTGGGTCGGTTCGTCACTCTCCTTGGCGGCCCCTGGATTGGGCGTGTCGCGAAGATATCTGGCATTCGCGAGGGCGCTGTCTGCTTGGAGGTGTACCCCGACGATGAGCGTACAGAGGCGGACCCGATGATCGTCTACGAGTGTGGCAACCCCGCTAGTACTCCGCAGTGGGACGGCATGATGGCGGAGAAGATGATTCTGGATGCGGATCTGGCTGCTGATCTCTGAGGTTGAGTGTGCGCTAGGGAGGGAGTGGCTTCGGTGGTCTGGCCCTTTTACGGGTCGGCACGGCCAGGTGGGTGCCTCGTGGGGGCGCCCCTGGTGATGCTGCGCACCTCCGCGAACGGGGCTCAGGGGAGGGCGCTTCGGTGGTCTGGCCCTTTTGGGGGTCGGCACGGCCAGGTGGGTGCTCCGTGCGGGTGCCCCTGGTGACGCCCCAAACCCTGCGCGCGGACGGACGGGGCTCGCTACGGGCCCTGCTTTTTTTTTTTTTTTTTTTTTTTTTTTTTTTTTTTTTTTTTTTTTTTTTTTTTTTTTTTTTTTTTTTTATTTTATTTTTTTTTGGTTGTTATATATATAGTGTTTATATATACATATATATTACTATATAATTATATATATACATTGTTTATATATATATATCAAAATTATATATAATTATAAAGAATAACCCGCCTCTTCCTCCTCCTCCTCCTCCTCCTCCTCCTCCCTCCTCCCCCTCCCTCCTCCCTCCTCCTCCTCCTCCTCCTCCTCTCCTCCTCCTCCTCCTCCTCCTCCTCCTCCTCCCTCCTCCTCTCCTCCCTCTCTCCTGCTCCTCCTCCTCCGCCTCCCCCTCCTCCTCCTGCTCCTCCCCCTCCGCCTCCCCCTCCGCTTCCCCCTCCGTCCTCCTCCTCTTGCCCCCCCCCTCCTCTCTCTTCCCCTCCCGCTCTCTCCCGGCTCCGCAGTGGCCTCTGCTGCGCGGCGGTCGGGAGGGGGCCACGCCCCGGGCGCTGCGGAAGGTGCTTGGGGTCCAAGGTGCCCCCTGCTTTTCGCTCCACTGGGGCCCTTCGGGGCCCGCGAGGGGCTGCGCTGGAGGCCGTGGGGGCCTCCTCGGCACTCCTGGGGGCACCTCGGGCCAAGGGCGCGCCCAGGAGCCCGAGCGCGCGCGGGGGCCGCCACGCCAGAACTCGGGTTGGCCAGCGCTCTTTGACGAGCGCGTCTCGAACTTCGACGGTCCAGTTTTTGTGGGATGTCTGCAGCGGAAGCTCGCGTCAAATTTCGGGCGGGGTCTCGTCATTTTCATGGTGGCCCCGTCAAGCCAACCCGAGTTCCCCGAGCCCGAATCTTACGTCTCCCCGACACCCGACGTCGTGATGCGGTTCCATCCTCCGACCCCATCTACTCGGACCCCATCTAGGGGGCCTCTAGGTGTGCGGCTGTTGGGAGGGGGCCAAATCCAAGCGCGCGCGTGGGCTGCCACAGTTGTTTGTGCAGCCAGTCGGAGATCACCAGGTGCAGCGGCAGGGCTTCCTGTGGAAGCTCTCGCCGGCCTACGGGTGGCTCCAGAGGGGCCTCAAGGGAGCCTTGGGGGGCCTGCAGCGGGGAAGGGTTAGGCGAGACAGCGGCAGCTCGCCATGCTTGGTTTTTTTGGGGGCAGGCCGTGTGGAAGCTTCCCAGAGATCCGACGCTCAGACAAACATTGGAACAGCCGGCTTTTGTACGTTTTCGGCCCCCGAGGGCCCTCGCCAGGCCTCGGGACCGTCAAAACACAACTCAGGACGAACAGCCAGCCCCATGCAAGTGGTCCAGACCTGCGGGGCACACGCATCGGTCCAGTTGAAGTGGCCGGATGTCTGGGCTTTCGTCGCCGCTGCTGGATCCGCCTCGGAGAAGTTGGTCAGGACGGGACCCGGGGGGGGCCCGGGGGCAGGCTCGAACCCGTTTCTGTATTGTTTGGGGCATGAGGGGCGTCATGGCCCCCGCCCCCCCCCCTATGACGTAACGCTCCCCCCCCCCAGTGCGCTCCGGGTTCTGCCGCCGTGCGCATTGGGATCCGCGTAGGTGTCCGCGCATGAATCCGCATAGTGGTCTGGTCCGCAGTCGTCGTCGTCGTCGTCGTCGTCGTCGTCGTCGTCGTCGTCGTCGTCGGACGCGGCTGGAGCCTGTTTATTATTCCGTGCCGATGACGGCAATCATGTGGGGGGGGTGGAGGGGGTCGATGACGTCACGCTTTCTGCTGGCGGCGTCTGGGAATGCCTAGGAATGACGGAGGACGGGTAGCACCAGCATGTAGGTGGCGATTTGCACCACAACGCCTGTGTTCACCACAACGCCTGTGTACACCACACCGCTTGTGTACACCACAGCAGCCGCGTACAACGCAGCGTGAGTTTGTGCCACCGTGCCGGCGGGCACAGCAGTTCTTGTGTACACCATAGCGTTTGCGTGCACCACATCAGCCGTGTGCAACACAACACCAGTGTACACCACAATGCATGCGTGCATTGCAGTGCGTGTGTACACCACGGCGCTTGTGTGTACCACAGCAACCGTGTGCAACACAGCACTACTGTTGTATATAGAATGTTTCAAGGAATCCTTATGACAAAATGGAGCGCTTGTGGATTCCACAGAAAACAATGAAAAAGGAATCCTTATGGACAAAGGAATGCCACTGGAATCTATGAGTCCTCCCGAGTGTGCCCGCATCACCGTAACTCCTCCCATCTGCGTCCAATTGGCCGTCCGAGAAGCAAGAGGACCGATTCAACAGACCATTCTGTGGTGCACGCTGACATTTGCACGTGCGCTGCAACGCCAAACCGCACGACAGAGGGTAAGGAGGAGGAGCAGGAGGAGGAGGAGGAGGAGGAGGAGGAGGAGGAGGAGGAGGAGGAGGAGGAAGAGGAGGAGGAGGAGGAGGAGGAGGAGGAGGAGGAGGAAAAGGAGGAGGAGGTGGAGGTGGAGGTGGAGGAGGAGGGAGGAAAAAATAACGTCGCATTCGATTATCAGCAGTTTCCCGGCGTGGCGTTTAGTTGGCCGCAGCAGGTTCTCACGCACTTACTCCTTCTACCTGTCCTCTGCACGCAGGCACTGTGGTGTACACTAGCGCTGCGTTGCACGCGGATGCTGTGGTGTAGACAGGCGCTGTGGCGTGCGCTGGCGATGCACTGTGGTGTACACGGGCGCTGTGTTGCACATGTTGCTGCGGTGTACACACGTACATCGGCGCTGTAGTGTACGCAAGCATTGCGGTGCAGGCGCTGCGTTGCACACGGTTGTTGCGGTGTACGCAGGCGCTGTGGTGTACACGCGCGCTGTGGTGCACGCGAGCGTTGTGGTGTACACAGGCGCAGTGGGGCAGATCGCCACCTACATGTTGCTCGTGTCGTCGTCCTCTTCGTCGTCGTCGTCGTCGTCGTCGGCGTCGCCGCTTGTCGCTCGTCGCGTCGTGCGCGCGGGCGCGGCTGTGGTGCTGGAGCCACACGGCCAGGGGGGGGGGGCGTTATGTCATACCCCCCCCGCCCCCCCTCCCCCCCATGACTCCTGTCTGTCATCGCCGAACATAAAAAAACGCGTCTTTTTGAGCGGAGCCGGGCCGTGCGGGGGGGAGCCGCCGTTGTCTCGGCGGGGCCGCCTCCGATGCGGGCCTCGTCCGCGGGAAAGGGCCCGCTTCAGCAGCGGAAGTCAAGGGAGGGAAAACCACCCGGATCCGACAATGGACGTTTATTCGACGGCCTTACCAGCGTTGACTAAACAGCCCTGCCCTGTTCGGTTCCTTCTTTGGATGCGTTGACTACATGGCTTCGCTCGTGGGGGTGATTCTCGTGGGGGCGGACTCTCTGCCCTCTAGGAAAAGCGATGGGGTCGACTGCGCCGACATCTGCGTGCAAGCTGCCCGGGGAAGCTCGCGCGTGAGCGCCCTCGTTGCCCAGGCAGCGTGTCGCGCCGGCGGCCCGCGTGAGCCACCGCCCTCGCCCGCGGGGGCCCCCGAGGCTCGAGGGCCGCCGCGGCGTGGCTCCGACCCTGCGTCGGCTGCCCTCGACGCCTCCGCCCCCCTCCCCCCAGACCCCCTCCGGTCATAAAAGATCAGGGCGGCAGGTTTTTCGCTGTCTTCGGCCTCGGGAGGCCCTCGCTGGGCCCCAGGACCGTCAAAGCACGAGCCAGGGCGAATGGCCGGCCCCAGGGAAGTGGTCCAGACCTCCGGGGCCCACGCATCGAAAGCATCGGAGCAACGGGATGCTTGTGACGTCCTCTCCTCTTCTCCTCCGTGCTTCCTCCTACCCCTCCCGCCTCCCCCCTCCCTCGCCGCTGCCATGATATCCCTCCCTCCTCCCTCCCTTCTCTCCCTTCTCTCCTCCTCCTCTTCCTCCTCCTCCTTCCCTCCTCCCGCCTCCTGCCTCCGCCTCCCTCCCCCCCTCCCTCGCCGTTCCCGAAGCTCGAGCATCCATCCTCGAACCTCCAAGGCGAAGAGGGCAACGACGAGGACGACGACGAGGAGGATGGGGACGACGGCCAGGACGACTGCGAGGACGACCAGGACGAGGATGACGGAGAGTACACCGCCAGAGTGTATCCATGTCTACCGCCTCGGAGTCGCGCCATTGGGACCTCGTGGACCTCTCAGGGAGTCTCGAGTACGGATACCTGCCCGCCTTAGAGAGTGGACTATCCACCCTCCCCCAGAGATCCAGGGCATGTCCCCAGTGGCCGTGGATGTGGACGCTCCCCGGCGTTTCGAGGAGGACGGCGAGGACGACGGCGAGAACGACGTCGAGGACGGCGAGGACGGCGAGGACGACGGCGACGCCGGCGAGGACGGCGAGGACGGCGAGGACGGCGAGGACGACGGCGACGAGGCCAGGCCTCTCCAGGCTGAGTTGGGGGCGGAGAGGGCCAGGCCCTGGCCGCTGGCATGACCCCCATCGTGAGCTACTGGAGCGCCGACGACATGACGTGGATGGACGGGAAGGCCAGCGCGAGGAGGGGGAGGAGGAGGAGGAGGAGGAGGAGGAGGAGGAGGAGGAGGAGGAGGAGGAGGAGGAGGAGGAGGAGGAGGAGGAGGAGGGAGGAGGAGGAAGGAGGAGGAGGAGGAGGAGAGGAGGAGGAGGAGGAGGAGGAGAGGAGGAGGAGGAGGAGGAGGAGGAGGAGGAGGAGGAGGAGGAGGAGGAGGAGGAGGAGGAGGAGGAGGAGGAGGAGGAGGAGGAGGAGGAGGAGGAGGAGGAGGGGGAGGAGGAGGAGGAGGAGGGGAGGGAGGAGGAGGAGGAGGGAGGAGGAGGAGGGGGAGGGGGAGGGAGGAGGGGGCTTGTTATCGAAGAAGAGAAAAACGCCACAGACATAAACTTTCGGCGGCGCTCCGCGCGGAGTTCTTGGATCTGCGCTGGGACCCCCCGGCGGCGCCTCGGCGCCGCCCCCGGCGGGGGTCTGGCACAGATCCAAAAAGTCCACGCGGAGCGCCAAAAGTTTATGTTCATGGCGCTTGTCCTTCTCCTGGGCCTGGAGGGCCCTTGGACCAGGGCTGGCGCCACACGGAGCTTTGGCGATGTCGTGGGCCGTTTCGGTTTTCCGCAGCAACAAGGCAGAAGGACGAACGCACAACCAGGGGGCCACGTGCGAACCCTACCCCTACCCACCGCGACTTCTGAGTGGGGCGGGTGGGGTTCACTTCGTTCGGGAGCTCCCGAGCGAAGGGAACCCCACCCTCCCCCTCAGAGATCGCGGTGGGTAGGGGTAGGGCTCGCACGTGGCCCCCCAATAACGGAGACAGAGCGAGGGAGAAAGAAAACAAAGCGAAAGCGAACAGCAGTGTTTGGCTCGAGCCCTGTCCTGGACCTCCTCGCGCCGTGGCAGAGACCACGACGGCAGGCTTCTGGCCGATCCCGGCGGGGAGCACGGCGCGAGGAGGAGGTTTGTCAGGAGGGGAAAAAACACAGGCACAATGAATCGTCGATTCCCCAGAAAATATGGGAAAATATGGGCAGTGGGGGGGAAGACAGAAACCCCGAAAAAAAGGGGGAAATATGGGGAATCCTGTTATTTGTGTATTTTTGTTGTGTGTCCCAGGGCCTTCAGTTTGGAGGAGTCCCGGACCCTCTCGCGTCGTGGCAGAACTCGCGGCGGAAGGCTTCTGGCCGATCTCGGCGAGGAGGACGGGGCGAGGAGGGGGTCGACGAGGAAGCGCGGCGTGAGCAGAACCTCTCCGGGGTCGCGCGGATCTCTTGGACCTGCGCGGGAGCCCCCTCCTCGGCGCGCGGAGCGCGCCAGGGGCGGCGCCCCTGGCGCCGCCCAGGGGTGGGCCGATCTGAGAAATCCTCGCGGATCTTCGCGCGGTGCCCGAGGAATCCGCGCGGACCTCCGAGTTTTTATGTCTACGTTCAAGTCGGGCCCGTCCCTCTGCGGGGAGGAGTGTGCCAACATGGTGCAGAAAAAATATGGCCCGGGGGCGGTTCTGCGGAGCGCTTCTTGGACCGTCTTGGGGGGGGTATGCTTGGACCGTGCTGACGCTCCTCGCCCAGGCTCCCCCTGTCGGAGGACAGGCCCGACTTCAGTCTGCGCCCCTCCTCCTCCTCCTCCTCCTCCTCCTCCTCTTCCTCCTCCTCCTCCTCCTCCTCCTCCGTTCCCCTGGACGTGGCCCCGCCCCCCGTGGATGGCACGGGGGGCGGCGCCGGAGGCGCCGGCGCCGCCCGGGGGCGGGGGGCCCGTCGCCGACCACCTGGGGCGCGGGCTGTCCGGCGGTGCGCGCTCGTGCCGCCATCGTGCTCGGGTGTTGCCAGAGAGGTGCCCCAGATTTCGTAAGAAAGGGAGGGGGGGTCTCGTTTCGGGGGGGGGGGTCTCTTCCAGGCCATCTTGGAGGGCCTGGGGGGTCTGGGGGCGATGTTTTGGAGGGTTCTCCCACGGGGGGGGGGTCTGAAATGGCTTGTCTTGGAGGGTCCAGACCCCCTCCCTTTTCCTACGAACTCTGGAGTACCCCTGGCCCTGGGTCCCCCCCAGGACTCTCGGGGTGGCCCAGGGGCGGCCTCCGGGGCCCCCCTCGCGAGGCCCAGGGGGGGCCCCCTAGGGGCTCCAGAGTGGAGCGAGAAGCTGCGGGCGCCTGGTGCCAGGAGCACTTCTGGCAGCACCCGATCGTGGAGGGCCGTTCCCGTGCAGCAGGAGGGGGGGGCAAAAGCACACAGACACAACGCGTCGTCGGCTCCCAGGGAGATGTGGGAAGATATGGGGAATGGGGGGGAGGACGAAGACCCAGAACAGATGGGACAGCTGTGGGGAATCCCGTTAGCTGTGTCCAGTTATTTGTGTGTCCCAGGTCCCCTTCAGTGCAGGCGGACCGAGAGGAGGAGCAACAGGAGGACGAGAGAGAGAGAGAGAGGGGAGGAGCAGGAGGACGAAAGGGAGGGGAAGGAGTCAGGGGGAGATGCAGACGTGACGGAGGATGGTGGGGAAGTGGAGGGAGAGGGTCGCCAACACAGCCGACGTGCCCCAAGGGAGCCCTGGAGGGGGGGTTCTCTCGGGGGCCTCGGAGGCATCGGTGGCCTCCTGGTCACGGTCGCTCGTGCTCGCGCTGCTCCGTTGGCAGTCCCCCGTCCGCCTGCTCGTACAGTCGGATCGCGGTCTGAGGTTGAGGTCGGTTCGGGGAGGCTACCCTCGTGTTCTTCGTGCTCATTGGATGTTCTTGTGCATCCTTGGGAGGGAACCCGCAGATGTTCTGTCCGTTTTGGCCGGTGGAGGGTATCATGTTCTTGGGGGATGCTATTCCGGCCTGGGTCTGGCTGCAGTTGCGTGCTTTCCGACCCCGACGCAAGCCTCCGGCTCGGTTTTGGAGGTCGCCGAGGCAATCGCGGCGGCCCGAAATCGGGGCAGAGGTTCCGTAAAGGAGTGGCATGCCCCTTCCCAGCCCCCCCCCCCTCTTTGCGATGTAGACGCGGCTTATAATTAACAGTATAGCGACAGACCCCTGTCATTTCATGTCCAACATGGGCAGTCATGTTTTTCCCTGACTTGCACTTAGGATACCTTGCTTCTGGTCTAAGGAACTGGGCCTGGGTGTCGGTCTGGAGGCTCCATGATCTTCGTCGCCACTCCGTCGCCGCCTCGTCGCCGTCCGTCGTCTGGGCCTGGGTGGCGGTCTGCCGGCTCCGTACTCGCCGTCGCCGCCCCGCCGCCACCTCGTCGCCGCCCGTCGTTTGGGCCCGGGTGGCGGTCTGGCGGCTCCGAACTCGCCGTCGCCGCCCCGTCGCCGCCCCGTCGCCGCCTAGATTGTACAACATAGATTGCACCACATAGATTTCACAACATAGATTGCACCACTCACAGGTTGCGCCACATAGATTGCACTACGTCGACTGCACCACATCGATTGAACCACATTGATTTCACAGCATGTATTGCACCACACAGGTTGCGCCACGTCGGCTGCACCACATAGGTTCACAACATAGATTGCACCACACATATTGCACCACATGTATTGCACTACAAAGATGGCTCCAGAAATATTCCACAACATCATATGTTAGCCAGCGCGGATCCCAAGCCTTTCGTTTGTACCAACATATGTTGTGCGACCTATGTGGAGCAATGTAGGTGGCGCAACATAGGTGGCGCAATCTAGGTGGTACAATGTATGCGGTTCAATGTATGTGATACTATTAGATTATCAGCCAGGGTTGACTCCAAATAGAGTAGAGCACTCAAATCAAGGAATCAGAGGAATCCAACATGCGTGGAATCCGCAACTCAGCAAGCAAGCAAGCGTGCAAGCAAGCGCGCAAGCAAGCAAACAAGCACGCAAGCAGGCAAGCAGGCGTGCATGGGCGCAAGCAAGCAAGCAAGCAAGCAGGTATAGGCATAGGCGTAGGCATAGGATTTAGGGGGGAGGCATAGGCAGAGGCATAGCAATAGCCATAGGAATCAGGCGGGGCGCATAGGAATTTGGGGTGGGGAGGGGCAACGGACCAATTAGTAGGGTTTGAGCTAGGTCTCCTTTAGGGCAAGCTTATTTGTAGAACATTGTGCGACCTATGTTGTCCAATACAGATTGTGCAATGCATGCTGTGCGATATTCGTTGTGCAATATGTGCGATGCACTCTACGTGTTGTGTGCAATATTGCTCGTGCGATCTGTGCTGTGCAATCTGTGCGGTGTACGCCGGGTGGTGCAATCTAGGCTGTGCCATCCAGGTGAGGCAGTCTACGTGGTGCGATCTGTGTGGTGTACTTCATGTTGTGCAATCCATGTGGTACAGTGATGCGAGGCCGCGACGAGGCGGCGACAGCGCGGCGACTGTGGCTACAGATCCTCCAGACCGACCTCCAGGTCCAGACGACGGGCGGCGGCAGAGGCGGCGGCAGAGCGGCGCCGGCGGCTACACTTTTTTTTTTTTTTTGTTTTTTTTTTTTTTTTACAAGCGCAAGCGGGCCCCGTGGCGAAACGCAAGCGGCGCCGGCGGCTACACAGCCGCTAGGACCGATCTTCGGGCCCGGACGACGAGCGGCGACGAGTCGCCGGCGGGGCGGCTACGGCGGCTACAGAGCCTAAAACGACGCGAAGATCGGGACAAAATCGGATCGGGATAACTCGAAATCTCTGAGAATCGGCGGGTTTGGAGGATGTATTGGGCGCCGCGGCCGCTCCAGAGCGTTCCGGAACGCTCTGAGAGCGCTCCGGAACGCTCTGGAGCGATTTATCCCGATCCTAGCCCTGTTTTAGAGCCGTTTTACCGACTTTCGGGCCTAGTTCCAGAAGTATGACCTACTAAGTGCAAGCACTGTTCTGGGAATTCTGAGCAGCACGTATTGCGCAACCCAGGTCGCACAGCATCTATTGCACCACGTACGTTGCACCACTTGTGAACTGCCCTCCACCTAGATTGCGCCACACACATCAGTAGAAACACACCTCTTTGGGGTCCATGCTGGTGCACCTCTTTGATTCGATGTCAACTACCACGCAACCTGCACAAGAGAGCGCGCGTACGCTCGTGGGCGGCATCCCTCTTCAAGGGCAGGGTCGAAGCCTTCGAGCCCTTCTGAGAAGGCAGTCCAGAGCACCTCCACGGGGGCCCCTCCGTGCCTCGCGGGAGGGAGGAGGAGGAGGAGGAGGACTCAATGCGCAGGAGGGTCGGGAGAAACACGAGGAGGAGGAGGAAGAGGAGGAGGAGGATGAATGGGAGGAAGGAGGAGGAGGAGGAGGAGGAGGAGGAGGAGGAGGAGGAGGAGGAGGAGGAGGAGGAGGAGGAGGAGGAGGAGGAGGAGGAGGAGGAGGAGGAGGAGGAAGAGGAGGAGGGGGAGGAGGAGGGGGATGAGGAGGAGGAGGAGAAAGAGGAGGAGGAGGCGGAGGAGAACGAGTCGGAAGAGGAGGAGGAAGAGGAGGAGGATGAGTAATTTGAATAATGATAACAATAAGAATGCGACGAATGGGAATAGTTAAAAGACTGAGAATGCTCATACTCATAATCATAATAACAACCATAGTAATATCAACAATAATCATACTAAACCTAAGAATGCTAATGCAAATAACATTTGCAATGAACAGTATATTGCACATACTACTAAAGCTAATACGCATAATAATCACACTCATACTAATGAGAGAACGACTGCTACTAGTTCTAAGAAGACGAGTGCTGAGGCACAACATGCACATACTAAGACTACTAATAAGAACATTCATAATCAAACGAATAATAAAAGTGGTAGCAAGTATGAGACTACTACGGATGATTCGAATGAGAATAATTATGTGAATAATATTAGTCAACAGTAATACTTCGAAAAGTAATGGTAATGCGAATGCTACAATTTTTCCCTACCTAGGCTCTGCCTAGAAGGGTTCTTACTCGCTTGGCTTAAAGGGGCCGGCCAATGCAAACCGCCCAGGGCGGTTCCCCCAGTCCCCTGGGAGCCAAGCAAAAGCAACAGCAAAGGTAAAAGCAAACGCGCGTTTCCCCCAGTTGCGCTCCCTGGGTGCCAAGCAAAAGCAAAAGCAAAGGCAAAAGTGAAGGCAAAAGCGAAGGCAAAGCAAAAGCATAGCATAGCATAGCATAGCATAGCGCAGCATAACATAGCGCAGCATAGCAAAGCATAGCATAGCATAGCATAACCTAGCCTAGCCTAGCCTAGCCTAGCCTAGCCCAGCATAGCATTGCACAGCATAGCATAGCATAGCAAAGCATAGTATAGCATAGCATAGCGCAGC